TGGATGCTCTTTATTTCTTTCTCTTGTCTGATTGCTCTAGCTAGAACTTCCAGTACTATCTTAAATAACAGTAGTGAAAGTGGGCATCCTTGTCTTGTTCCAGATCTTAGAGGAAAAGCTTTCAGTTTTTCCCCATTTGGTATGATACTAGCTGTGAATCTATCACATATGGCTTTTAGCATGTTGAGGTAAGTTTCTTCTGCACCCAGTTTGTTGAGAGTTTTTATGATGAAGGGATGCTGAATTTTATCAAGTGCTTTTTCAGTATCAGTTGAAATGATCATATGGTTTTTGTCCTTTGTGCTGTTGATATAATGTATTACATTGATTTGCATATATTGAACCATCCTTGTTTCCCTGGAATGAATGCCACTTAATCATGAAGAATAATTTATCCATTTCTTCTAGGTTTTCCAATTTATTGGCATAGAGTTGCTTGTAGTAGTCTCTAATGATCCTTTGGATTTCTGTAGTATCAGTTGTAGTGTCTACCCTCCTGCCTTTTTTTTCTTTTTTTTTTGAGACAGAGTCTGTTGCCCTGGGTAGAGTATAGTGTTATCGTCGTAGCTCACTGCAATCTCAAACTCCTGGGCTCAAGTGATCCTCTTGCCTCAGCCTCCCTAGTAGCTGGGAATATAGGCACATGCCACAACACCTGGCTAATTTTTCTATTTTTAGTAGAGATGGGGTCTTGCTTTTGCTCAGGCTGGTCTTGAACTCCTGAGTCAGCTTGCCTGCCCTCCTTTTTATCTCTGATTTTATTTATTTGGGTCTTCTCTATTTTTTTTTTTCTTAGTCTGGCAAAAGGTGTGTCTATTTTGTTTATCTTTTCAAAAAACCAGCTTTTTGTTTTGTTGATGTTTTGTAATGTTTTTGGTTTCAATTTCATTTATTTCTGCTCTGATCTTTATTCTCCTAATTTGGGGGTTGGTTTGCTCTTGTTTTTCTAGGTCTTTGAGATGTATTGTTAGGTTGTTTATTTAAGCTTTTTAACTTTTTTGATGTAGGTACATATTGCCATAAACTTTCTTATTACTGCTTTTGCTGTATCCCATAGATTTTGATATGTTGTGTTTTCGTTTTCATTTGTTTCAAGAAATTTTTAATTTCCTTCTTAATCTCTTCATTGACCCACTGGTCACTTAGGAACATACTGTTTAATTTCCATGTGTTTGTATATTTTCCAGTGTTCCTCTTGTAATTGACTTCTAGTTTTATGCCATTGTCAGAAAAAATACTTAGTGTGATTTCTTTTTTTCAATTTTTTGAGACTTGTTTTGTAGTCTGATATGTGGTTTATCCTTGAGAATGATCCATGAACTGAGGAAAAGAATGTGAATACTGCAGCTGCTGGATGAAACATTCTATAAGTATCTATTAGGTCGAATTGGTCTATAGTGCAGATTACGTCCAGTGTTTCATTATTGATTTTCTGTGTGGATGTTCTGTCCAGTGCTAAAAGTGAATTGTTGGTCTCCAGCGATTATTGTATTGGGGTCTGTCTCTCTTTTTACCTCTGAGTGCTCCGGTATTGGATGCATATATATTTAGAATTGTTACATCCTTTTGCTGAATTGACCCTTTTATCATTATCTGATGACCTTCTTTGTTTCTTTTTACAGTTTTTGTCTTGAAATCTATTTTATCTAATAGATGTATAGCTACTCCTGCTTTTTTTT